TTCACATAAGTGGAACTGTTGCAGCAAATGGAAAACAGAATCAAAAGGTCAGAGTTTCGGAGAAGCACAGAAGCACAGAAGCAGCAACAACAGGAAGTGAAGTATGATGACTGCTTAAACTGCTGACATCGTAAAACATATTAAAATATATCTTCTTTTATTCGAAGATATTTTTTCCGAACAAGTGTTTTAGAATTTATGTTGAATGCCTCTGGAAATTAAGCAGAAACGATTGTGTTTCATCTTTTTCATCTGGAATTTATTTTCTAATTTAGTGACATAATTATATTAGATTTTTTTTCTAAAAAAATATATATTTTATGGTTATCGTAGCAGCTGTGCCTTTTGTGTGATATTTTTTTTTAACGTAAAATGGAATCACATTTTTGCATAACATAACACAAATTTATTTGAAGTTTTATTTAATTTTTCAGTTTTCATATATTTTAAATAAATATCACAGATAATGGATATTCACTGCAGTCGACCGAGCTGTCAGTTTAGAAATTGTAAATAACAATAATTGTTATCAATTCTACTTAAACGGTATTATCGTTGATAGACTCACATCAATAAAATATATTGGCTTTATCTAATAAGTTAGCATTTATTTAATATCGTTTTAACATACTAAGAGGGTCTTTTATATTATTAGTATATTTCCGTTAGTTATAAACTATTATCAGTACAGTTTCAACAATACAAGCATAAACTATAATTCCTCATAGACTGTAAAAATGACTAAATTTATTATTTATAGAGTTTTATGGATTAACTAGAATTATCTATTAACATTAGTTTTTTCCGAAACAAACAAAAAATCCTTCGGAACAACTAAGATCAAAACTACATACGTGATCAGTATAATTTGTTGATCAATATATTTTTATCAACAGATTTTCACATCTTCAGATCACCTGAGATCTGATATGTATGTATTCACAAGTTCATTTTTTGGTTTGGTGTTGCCACAGATGTGTAAAAAAATCGCACTAACATAAACATATTACCTAATATGAATAAATGATAAAGGAGTTAGCTTGAGCTTGAAATATAGGTATGATAGGTATGATTTTAATATAGGTATTATATTTGATCAATTTATTTTACTCAGAATGTTAAAACAATATTCTGTCATGTTATTGAAACATGATTTTTTCAATATATACACTATGTTGTTCCGTTTTTTCCCTGTCAACCGATTGTTAATATTGTGCATTTTCTTAATTGACCTCACGTTGTTCTGGCGTTTCGTAAGCTCTGTTTGTTGTTTTCCGAATTTATCCTATTTTTATTGGTGAACTAACATATTTCTGGTATGTAACTCAAAGATTATTTTTGATTAATTTTGATTTATTAAATTTGAAATTATTGAATAAATATAATTTTTTTGATAAAATTTCGAAAATAGGAAAGATTTTCTATATTATAAAGAAACATATTTTGTGCTT